TCTGTTTCCCAGAGTGTGCCCCTGAGAGATACTGCAGTTTGTTTGATGAGTACAATGTACCTTATTTGTTCTATTCAGAACCTACAGTGTGTATGTTTTCCCAGACACGCAGAGCTGGTTTATCAAATCAAGTGGGGTGGACTGTCAGGGTCAACGCATGGCTGATGTCCAAAACTGACATGACTTTTTCTAGATTCTGGAGGGCTCCAATCCCTTTTACACAGTTTGCAGGAAATTATAATTAACTATGACAGTAGAGTAGGATCAGCTTCCTGGAAGCCATATATTATAAAAAGAAAACATATATATCAAAGAAAGAGACATAGAAATAAAGTCAGATAAAAGTGCTTGATATAAATGAATGAACCTAGTTGGGAAATATTTCAGCACAAAATTGGCAAAAGCCTAGATTTTGAAAACTATAGGAAATTTTCCTTTATTCCAATTTTTAAAAATCTTTTGCAAGAACAAATAAACAACTTATGAGTATCCAAGGATATATCCTTCACCTTTCTTCTCCATTAATTTCTTTGAACTGCTCTCAGCATCTTCCAGTTACATATGAAAAGAATGAGAGTAAGGCCTCCTGTAGAATTATTGATGGGGAGACTATCAACTACTGTTGTATAACATTATAAAGTATCTTATTCTTATTAATGCAGGAAAAAACCTTACCTAATCTTAGCAAAATGCAAGGGTTAACTAGACAAGTAGTTGTTATTCACAACATACTTCTAGTGAATTAATTCCCAGTTCACTGGCTAATCAGATCAGTGAATTAGTGTGTGCATTCAACGAAACAGTTAAATAGCTATCCAAAGCACATTCTTAATTGAAACCGTAAAAAACAACTAGGTTTTATATTGACATCACATTTTACCTAAATTTATTCACCTCAAAATGTATTGTAATGAAACTTATTGTTATATAAATTATTTGGTACGAGTTACCTTGACTAACATGCTTTGTGGAAGTGAAAAATGCTCCCTAATTAACGTGTAGTGGGAGAGGAAAAACTAGGAGAGTCGATACCTACTTGCAGAGACTAAAAGGATTGAGAATCAATCAAAGAGAGGGGAGAAAATCCCAGCACTGCATCATTTGTTATTCAGGGCAAGAAAAAAAAAAAATCTGCAACCTCATTACCCACGTTCAGTTTCTTTAAGTGATTTCGGTAGGCAGTGCAGCAACAGTTCCCTTACCGCCATGCACAAGCACTGTTACTTCTGCCTTGAACTGTTTGCTGCTGAGACAAACAGGCTCGGGTAACTAGTGGTGGATTGCAGTTCGGCTCAGAATCTGGCCAGTTCGAGGTGGTCGTGGGGGAGATTAACGAGACAGCCAAAGCCCCAACCGTGGGAAGGCTTAAAGGCAGAAGATGGCCGGGCAGAGAGAGGCTGCTCCCACCGCCACCAGCGCCTTCGCCTGTACAGTTGTTCCAGCTGCCAGAGGCTTGCTGGTTGCCACGGCAACTGTGGGGCTCTGCTGCGAACTCGAAGCAGAGCCTCTGAAGTTGGGTACCCAGCACTGGAGCCGAACAGACGCGGAGGCAACTGCGGAAGGGGACAAGAGCCAGGACCACCCATGGCTAAGACGATCCCTTTGAAATCAGATTCTTGTTTTTGCATTTGTAAAATGAGATTTTGTTTTTTTTTCCCCTGCCTGGAATTATTCATTAGTGTCATCTCTTGGTGCCCGGCGGGAGACGGAGGCTGCAAATCCTCCGCCGAGGCGGGGGCGCGGGGCTTGCAGCAAACGTGGTTACCGGGAGTGCGTGGAGCCCGCTCACTCATTCATTCAGCTGTGCATAAATTCGACACGTCCCGCCTGCTCACCTGCGCGGGGCGCCGTGCCAGGTGCCGCGTCTACGCAGAGAGAGGCGACACCAACCCACCCTCAAAACCACAAGGATGATTAACCGAAATTAGCAGAATCGTCACGAAATGCCTGCGGAAAGCCAGCTGGGCATGGCCTGTGTCCCGCGGGTCTCTCTCGCAGGACAGATTGAGAATCCGCCCGCGGGAGAGGAAGGAGGCCCCGAAATAGGGTTAGGAGAGCAGGGGGGAGAGAGGGAGGCAGGGAGAGAATCTGCCAAGGCCACTCAGACGTCTCTCCCAGGCTGCCAGAGAGAAGAGGTTTGTTTTTCTTTTAGAAAAACGTAGCCCTTTTCCCCACTGGGCTCAATTTTCTAGTAGGGGAAGCCCCGCCTCCCTGGGCCACTGATTGGCTCCGCTCTTTTCAAGATAATTTATGCCAGCGTCCTCTCCGTCTGATTGGCTGCCCCGCTCGAGTGCGCCGCGAGCCGCATCCTACCTGGTGGGAGGTGGACCGCTTCCCGCACTCCGCCTGCACTCGCCGCCCAGGTGGGAGGGAAGGTCCAAACTGGAGACCGAGCTAGGGCAGCAGGAGCAGAATAAGACGACCCCATGGCTTCTTGGAAAGCCTTTCTCGTCTCCCCCTTTCTCCTGTGGAATCAAAGCAGAGGGGTGAGGTTGATGTTCTTGCTACTGACTCTGCATTTGGGAAACTGGTGAGTACGTTCAAGGACTTCAAACTAGTCTCTGGTATCTGCCCCTTATTTCCTTTCCTTTAAAAACATCATTCTAAGTAATTTGCATTTTCTAATTCATGTGCCATATTTTACCATCATTTTATTTTCTGATTAGATCTATTCACTCTCCCAGAAAGAAATTAGCTTATCTCTGAAGCATTGAGATTCGGTTGTTTTTGACTTTCAAGCGGAGTAACATAAACTAGTAAAGGTTCAGTTACTGGGAAGGGGGGAGGGGGAATGGAAGTGACTTTGCTACTAAATTTAGTGAATGAATGCCATCGATGAACTTGCTGGATGATTCTGCATTTTAAAGACAAAGTTATTTCAGAAACTTGTTTCAAAGTATGGTATAAATAATGCTTCTCTATATACTAAGATCGCTTTTTCCCTCTGCCCCCGCCCACCCTTTTTGGGTAACTTTCTGCAACAAGCCAATGTTTTACATCAAGAAAGATTATAA